ATAATGTAATATAGGAATAAAAGGTCCAAAGGGGTAGGGGTAATGGGAGGCACAGGGGAAAGGAAAGAAGGGAAAGGAAAAAATGATGAGAAATGGGAAAAATGGAAATAAAGTCTTTGTAAATAGGGAAGGGCGTGAAGGGAGGGCTAGGAATGGGGAAAAAATAAGAACCAGGATGCATTATATAAAGGTACAATTCCCAATGAGAAATGTAATTGTGTTCTATACCTACAATATACCAATAAAAGAATTTAATACAAAAAAAATAATAATTCTGTGCTTTGACTCTGAAAGCTTAGCGATATTACAGGAGAAAATCAAAACATAAAAATCTAATATTGCGAAGCAAAGTTATGCTTTAAAAAAAAAAAACGATCATGCCTAGTGAGCGATTTAAACTTTTAAGATACAACCATCTCAGGCAAAGTAACAACTCTGGAGGATTTTCTTTCATACACCTTAACAATTACAGAACAGAAATTCTGAATTCTCTTAATGTAAAATGAGTATTTTAACTATTTTTAACCTATGAATGTTAAGGGGCAGGGATTTAGCTTAGTGGCACCGCGCCTGCCTCACAACCACAAGGTCCTGAGTTTGATCCCCTGTACTGAAAAAAAAAAAAGAATGTTAAATAAGAGGCAATAAAATTTTGTTATGACTCATTTATTTAACAGTTCTGATTTTCTTAAAACTGTATAGAATTTCATTTCACCTTTTAAAATTGTATCACCTGTCTTTGTTACTTTTTTCTGACTAAAACGTTTCCAGATGTTTTGGAGAATATTTCCTACTTTTCAAAAATAACAAATAAAAATAAAAGATTTCTCATTTTACTCTGAATATAAATATAATTTACTGTAAATTCAATTCTGTTATAAATTAAGGTGAACAAAGAACATTTGGATTGAGAGAATGAATAAAACATTAACTTGAGGAAGATGTTATTGAGGGATATTAGTCTTTCTTTTTAGAAACTGATCCATTTAACCATGAGCAACTAAAGTTGGACATTTCAGACAAGGAATTAAAAACTAGTTAATATAAAACAGCAGGAAAGTTTAAATCTCAACAAGGTCTCATTCATTCCAGAAACATTATCAGAGAGCTTACAGTGACCTAACAAATAATTTCACTATTGCCACCTTTTCCTGGACTTCGACAAAATTCAACTCTGTCTTCTCTGTTCCTCCAATCTCACAGGTATCTTATGACCTACCTTGGAAGAACAATTTTCACAGGGCTTAATGGAGGTTAATTTCAATTCTTTGTTTGTTTGTGGTTTTTGGCTTGGGTTCAGATTATATTAAAAAGTATTTACTCCATTATTTAGTTCCAATCATTGTCATAGGGATTAGAAACAGAGTGTGTGGTGCCCTGAACTTTCCATTGAGTGATGGTCTAGATAATCCGTGTTGTTTAACTGCATCAACTAATGAAGCAGATTCTCCCTCTTCCCGGATGTAGTTAGGACATTTGACAGTGGGCCTATTCATTACAGTATACATAGTTTTGGCTGATAAATAAGATAAATGTACTAATGAAGTTGACCTTAACAAAGAGTAATGAGCTTAAAAGGAAAATTTACTAAGGGCTTACTGAAAGTCCATTAGCTATTCTTCCTTTGCTGTAGAGGAAAGCCGGGAGATTAAGAATAAAAATGTTAAAGCCAAGTCATACATCATTAAATAGTATCTGAATCCTTCATAATGTATGACAATTTCTGTATATTTATAGAACAGACTCTTTCAGAATGCTTCCTAAATGCTAAAAAATAGTTAAGTTTAATTTGAAATAATATCAGTGGGAGAGAGATTATCTAGGTTAGAATGTTCAATTATATAATTTAATCTTTAAAAGTACACTTTAATAGGTTTTAATAGCAAAATAGCTTTTGAAATAGTAATAGGTACAGACCTTGCCTTCCAGACAATAATTCAGCTATAAATGATGCACTGTGTGACAATGAGTATTGTCAAATACTTTATTAAAATTAACTATATTCAGTTAAGTAGTCATTCTTTATCATGATTATCATCAGAACGTCTAAGAAACCCCTGCCTTCATAATTTAAAGTCCAACCTCATCTCATCCTGAAAAAAAAAACTCAAAAAATAGAATGCATTCATTCCTTTAACAAATATGGATGAGGCATCTCTGAGAGCAAGTCCTTAGGAGACACAAAGCCATGTTTGCATCTCTGCTCTTAAGATGTCCGTAGTCCAGGACAGACAGGTGCCCAACTAAAGCCACAGAAATGAACCAATGCTGGACAAGTATAAAGGAAGAAAAGCATGGAAGCAAAGGGACCAAGTGGACTCTCCCTCTGGACTGAGTTTTCTACCTCCAGCGAGAGATCATCTCTACCCTTCCTCTTCAACACCTAATACAATGTCCTGCATGGAGCAAGGGCCAGAAACGTGAGAGAGACTCCCTCTTGCTGGAGATGCTGAGCTTCATAGGAGAGATATGTGTGCAAGTTCACATGGGACATGAATTCCCCAGGCAGACAACTATGTGGGGAAAGAGAGGAATGGCAACTGTAAGGACAGAGACATGAAATTCACCCTGCAGCCTGGGAAGGATGCAGAGTGCAGGCAGGGGCTGCAGAGGGTAGGTGAGAGGCACATGTGAAGGGCTGAGGTGCTGTGCTACAGAGTTTGAATGGACTTCAAGCGTGATGGAGAACACAGGGAATTTCAGGCACATTCGGGTTTTTGTTATAAAAGAAATATTCTGATAATTCCTTGGAAATACTGAAGCAAGGCAGCATCAGCGGCTAAATAAATAAATGAACTGTTTGTTAAAATCATGTAAAATAATTTCACGGCCCTGATGGACAAATGGATACTTATTTTGGAGGAGGAGGTATTGGTCTGGATGTGACTACAGGAGTCCTGTGGTGGTGAGTAGGGAATACATGAGAAACCACAGATTCGTGGCAGAAGAAAATAGCAAGAGGGCAAACTCAGTTTGGAAAATTTTGGAAAATGCAGGTGACTATCTTCACGAGCAGGTGAGAATTACAATAAAGAGCTGAAAGGAAGGGACTAAATTACAGATGTACCAGTGGACAGCAGGATTTCAGAGGAGGGGAGATGTAATGTTGAATAAAGTTCTTGGATGCCATTCCAAACAGCTCCTTCACCCAAGACACGCCAGAGGGCTGTGATTTTATTGTCACTGCCTCCTTCTGTGGCTATAGCTCTCTTAAAATATATTTGGGCTAACAAATCTTAATGCTGAGTTTGAAAAACATATTAACTGCTGGTAAAAAAAAAAATGATAGCTACTGAAACCTACTAAACTCTTGTGGCATAACATCTAGAAAGCTCTCCTGGTATTATGCTAAGAATAAATGAGACAAAGTATTGAAAAAATATGCTGAGAGCTAATTTACTTCATCGGAAATTGCTGGGTTTGTTACTTTAAGGTTTCAGAGAACTAAAATAAATTGTTTTAAAGATAAGGTTTTTCAAAGGGACTTGAATGAAAAACACCAAGTCTTCATTTTATAAAGAGTACTTTAGGGCTTATGTGGAAGAATTAGGAAACAATCAGCACCTGAAGTTAGTTAAATTAAGGAAAGTGACTGAAATACAGGAGCCTAAACTGCAATTTACGTAGATCTGTTTAACATAAGGTTCCCCCTGGTGTTCAAAGGCAGGTATGTCACCCCAAATCCAAATCCCTGCATTCTGCTGCATTTAAAAATCTACATGGTTTTTGGTAAGTTTCTGGATCCTCTCAGGAACAGAAATCTACTCATTTAATGCCATTACTATATTCATGTAAACTATTCAGACAGTTATATTCTCCTAACTTCGTTTTGTTTGTGAGGGACTAATTTTTTCCCTTATTGTCTACTCCATGCACATTTGCAAATACTGCTAGGAAGGCATATTCACCTTCCCAAAGAGAAGGAAGCAAAGGAACGCTGCATCCACTGTGTGGACACTAGGTCCTGGGAACACTTTTCCTTTTATCCTCCTTCTCCATTCTCCCTGCCACCCCAACACGTGTTTTCTGAGGCTGCACTGTTCAGTGTGCTGGAGCCAGCAGGTCGAGCAAGATGAAAGTCCCGGCTACCACTGCATGTAGGCTCTCAGGGCAAGGATGGGCAGATTGAAAAGTGAAAACATAAAGAGCATCTGCAGCAACTGGTGGCACTGATGCCAGAGAGACATAGAGCCATTGGGGACATCCTCTCTTGGGACAGACCTGACCATATCAAAAGGAGTAAAATCAAATGGAGTAAATAATGAAGTACAGTGACTAAGAGGTGAGCTGGAAGATGGCTAATAACAGGAAAAAGACATGGAAGAAAAATCACTCTAGCCGTGGTGTCAAGAATAGGCAAAATGAAGGCAGAAGGACAAGCTGGGCAATGAGAGGCGAAGGGGGCTTAGCCTCAAGTGGGAGTGAGAGAATTTGTGAGAAGAGGTTGCTTAAAGATATATTTTAGTGGCAGGGCTGAAAAGATTTGCAGAAATAGTAGGTGTGAGGTAGGAGAGGAATGAATGAAAGATGACTCACAGGTAAAACCACCAGGAAACTAGTGATGGGAAAGTCTCCAATTATAGTGGTAACTTGGTTCACAAATTTAATTCTTTCCACAATTCTGGTCACAAACCGAACTGGAGAAGAACAGAATCAATTTTCCACATAAGGTCAACATTGAACCTAAACACTGAATTTGATTTTGTTCTCATCTAATCTTAGAATTAGCTAATTGATACTTCCATGCTTGGCAGTCTAACTTACATATTTTTAGGGTCAGTACAGGGTTAAGACTGTGAGATCTAGAGCAGGATTCCTGAACTTTACCTCTATGACCTCCAACTATGAGGTGCTGCATGCTCTTCCTATTATGTTATGAAATTACAAAATTGGATACAGAAAACAATAACACAAAGTTATTGCGAAGTGCCATTCTCAGAGCCTGGCAATGAGCTAGGAGTCACACATTTCATGCACTGAATAGAAAATAATATGACCGAGTTACCTCAAGCCATCAGCCACATGAAGCGCAATCCTGTGCTGGAGGGTCCTGGTGAGGCTGGCTTTGTCCTGCTGAAGCAGGCGATCCAAGGAGCCCTTGGAGGCCAGCTCCATCACCAGCATCCGAGGACGAATCCCAGCAGCCAGCAGGGATATTAAGCTGGGGTGGTGAAGGTGGCAAAGCACCACCAGCTCCTGCAAAAATGCAAAATGATACAGATGTAACATAGCATTGGCTCTTACCCGAGAGCCATTGCCTCCTTCCTCAGTGAGCACGGTTTTCTCTAGGGTGACTACACCAAACCTCCTGTTTCTATTTTGAGCTTTTAAATATACCTTCACCATTTTCAATAATCAATACCTAGTTTTGAAACTGTTCTTGGAATTAAAGTTTTATTTTTCCTTTTGCTCTGTTGTCGCCAGCACATTAGACACAGGGGCAGTACAAACTTGAGGTCATACTAACAGGCCATGCCAAGCTTATCTACCAAACTCTAGGCAGCCACAGAAGCTGGCTCAGCTCAGGATTCTGAAGTCACTGTCATTCGACTGAAACTGGCACTGGGTGTAAAACCTGTCCTCCATGGTTTAACACCTACAAAAATTTCCTGAAGAAAACGCATAACTCCCCAGAAATATATGGGGTCCTTCCATCACAAAACTCTCCAATGACGGTATACTATTCTTGGATTAGAATCCCATGTATTTCTATGGCCTGAGGACCTTACCTGACTTTGCCCCAGGCCACCTTTCAGGCCCCATATTATTTCCTCCTCGTTCACCACCCTGCAGACACTCACGTGTGTTAAACTCTGCACATGCTTAGCAACTCCCAGCTGCAGGATCTTTGCTTCTACTGATCCCTCTGGCTAGAAAACCTTTCACCCTTCACGTGAATGGGGCTCCTTGCCATTCAGATCGGACCTTCCTTGAGGGCCCTGCTGTGGCCCCCTTCCTACAGGAGTCCCTTAGCTGCAACATGAACTAGACACCACTGTAGCTGGAGCAGAGATCTGCATCTGACATCATCCTTTCTCTAGACCTCATCACGTGAGACTGTGTAGTCCCCTTAATGACACCATGGTATTTGGATTCCATATTCACTGTATTCTACTCCCCATAACTATGAAACTGTAATTCAGTTGAAATTTGTCACTTTCTAGAAATCTATCCTTCTAGACCACATTACATGAAACTACAATTTCTTTTATGGTGGTATTGTTTTTGAATTCTGTATGTATTATATTCTATATATTCTACTTTATTCTGAAACCATAATTTAGTTCAAATGTACAGCTTTATGTGACCTGAAACAGACTCATGTTTCGAACTGTCATTGCCACAGACCTGCTTTAAAGCTACAGAGTATCAGTGCCAACAACATCCTTCAGGAAACAGAAATGTGGAGCCTCTGTAGGCTGAACAAGGAAGGCTGAGTACCTGAGAAGGCTTTCCAAGAACAAAACTGCAGGCTGAAGTCACATTTGCCTAGTAGACAAAAACCTTTTCCCTCATGTTAGATGAGATCAGTTCGTTAAAACTGATGAGAATAAATCAAGTTAGCTCTGTCTACTTCCACAGCCAATCAGACGCTTAATCGAACATTCTACAATGGGAAAGCCACTCTGATTACAGAAAAAAAGGAGCAAGAAAGGATAACAGATCTGTACCAATTCACAACCTTCAAAAATGCAGGACTGAATACCAAAATGGTATTCTTTTTCTTTTCTCTTTTTGTTAAAGAAGTACATTATGAACATTCTTTTTCTATTTCTTCTACTATTTTCCTAGTTTACCTATCTGCCTATGTATCAATCAGCTCTGCATATGTTTTTAGTGTTTTGGACTCCATCAGAGTTATTCAAATACATTTCATAAAATTGAAACATAAATTGAAGATTAATAACAAGACTAGAAAATGAATTTATATAACAAATTACTTATTGTTAAAGAGATCATGCCAGATTTTGTTCACAGGGTTGCTTCAATATACAAAATGTTTCACTTTATTTCTAAATCCCAGCACTGCCCGAGGCAAGGAGGACCGCAGTAAGCACCATGGGTTGTGCATTCCCTTCTTCCCTCCTGAGAATATCTTGATTTTTGCTGGGGTATCAAACCCTCACCCATGCCGCCTATGGACTTCTGGGGGAGCTGACTCAGGGGAAAGGTGGGAATAGTCTAAGTAACCCATCCTCACTGCACAGCGACTGGTTCATTATCACAGCACTAAGCCAATCAGCTATCACTATCATAGCTCTAAGCCAATCAGCACACAACACTGCCCTTAACAGAAGTGCTTGTTGTCAAACAACACTGACTCAACTGAGCCCAAAAGAAGTTTTTCTTTTTCACTTAATGAGCTGCTGTGTCAGAATTTTGGCCCCTTTGAATTACAGTATTTTAAACAAGGGACTTTTTTGTTTTCTGTGCTTGTGATACATCATTGTGAGGCCTAGGACCTGTGTTACTACAATGAGAACAGCCATCCCGATGAATAAAACCAATACACAGAGCTTAAAGGAATTACAAAGAAATTGTTCAGAACCAGTGAATTAAATCCACCCAACAGTGAGCAACTCTGTGATTTTTATTTTTCAAACATGGAAAGTAAAGGTAATTTATCAGATGAAACTCATTGTGAAAGGTCTTCAAGCTCAGAAGAGACGGCAGGACAGAGAGTGAAACATCTAGAATTCTCCAACAGATTAAAGACAGAAGAATGAGGCAGCACCAAGCAGGCAGGAGACAATGTAAAGTACAGCACCTCCAGAGGTGGTTATTAGTGATTCAGAATTCCTGCCTATGTAACCCAAATAAAAAGTAGCCAGAAATAATGCCCACCCAATAAGAGTTCAGTCTATCTACCTTTTCAGAGAGTGATAAGTGGAGCAAACAAATCTGCAAAAGTGCACAGAATACCTTCTATTTACCTTTAATAATCAGAGCAATCCTTTAATAACCAATATAGATCATTCATAGATATGTGGAGTCATCAGAAATATCCTAAGTGGAAAACCAACAGCATAAAACAGAAAGACCAGGATGAACCCACAAAACAAATGACCTCAGAGAAACTTCAGTCATGCAAGTAATTGAAGCAATTAAATTTTAACTGATATTAAGAAAAATTCTTGATGACATCTCATCTAAAAATATGGCAGGGAAGGAAAAATTGCTGGAAATTTAAAATATGACTATCAAAACAAAATTCAGTAAGAAGCTAAATAATAAATGAGGCAATACTGCTAAGTAAAAAACTGTAAGAGATAGTCATATAACTCACTGAAATTACAGATAAAGCTTTGAAAGGAAATTCAAGAGAGCCAGGGGTCTCACATCTAGTGAATACTCTTGGACAAAAGATCAGAAATAAGGCCGGGCATGGTGGCACACACCTGTAATCCCAGCACTCAGGAGGCTAAGGCAGGAGGATTGCCTTGACTATAAGGCTATCCTGGACTACACAGGGAGACCCTGTCTCAAAAAAACAAAATCAAGAAAGTGCCTCATAAACATGTTTGCCAAGTTTCAGGATATCAAGGACAAGAAAAATCTAAAAGACTGAATTTTCAGTTTTTAAATGCAAGTTAACCTGTATGAGAAGTATTTGATTGACATCAGGCTACTCATTAACAAAAGCAGGTACTAAAATAATCAATGGAATTTTCTTCAAATTTTGAAGGAAAAGTATTTCAAGCCCAGATTTCTAAAAATTACATATCCATCGGGTATAAGAGCAAAATTCAGATAGTTTTAACATGTAAGAACTAAAAACATAACCTCAAATTACCTCAAAAGCACTCTTTCTGAAAAAAATTACTTGAAGATAGTCTCCAACAAAATATAAAGACAATTCAGCTAAAAGAGTCACAGAATCCAAAAACTATCAAGGAGGACAAGGAAAACAAATCTGTGAAACTATGTAAATTACTTGGAAATCTGTCTCACCTGCTTAGTGTAGGAAATCCTGAGCAAAACAAGGAAGAAGAAAACCGACTCCATTATGCCACCTATATAATAAAAACTTAAGACACTAATAAAGCCACAATAGAAGGTATATCTTTCCTCTCATCATGTTAAATAGAAGATTATCAGAAAGTCCAAATAACTCAAAAAGACATATAAAATATCAGGATATAATTGTGATACAAATTAAAATAAGGTCCTATTTACCTCAATTGATGATAAACACATAATAATAAATAATCCATCTGATTTTGACATTTGGAATATTCTTAATCTAGTAGATAAAAAGACTACTAAGAGAGGGGTACTTTTTCTTGTCAAAGAATAGAAATACTTTCTGTACAAATAAGTCAAATATAAAAGGTATTTATTAGTTTTGTTTTAGAATCAAACTATAAGCAAAAGGCAAACAATTTAATTATAATTACAAAGTAGAATATAAATCTCACACAATTTATCGATATAAAAATAACAATAAACTCTAGAATTTTGGAAAGAGCTAGAAAGAGGACAAAAAAGAATAATGATAATTTTCTTTACCTCAAAAAAATAATGAGCCAGTACACACTATCTAGTGTTGGTATACTAAAAAATAAAAGTTTTATTATTTCAAGTTATAATTGTTGCTATATTGGGAAAATTAATATAACTGATTTTAAATTTAAAAATTTGGGGAACAAACAGTGTGCTAACTTGGCCTATCTTTTGCAACAGGCAATTAATAAGTTCTTTATAAAGTTGATAGATTCAAAAAAGAAGGGCACACCGTTAAGAGTTTTAGTTTAAGATTTCTGACTTTTACTCAAATCAGCAATGTGAAATCTTGCTTTAAAATGTTCCTTTGCCTCTGAACACAGAGGAGTCATATTTACTAAAACTAAAAACCATTATGTCTCTGAGTCAGAAAAACGAAAGATAAACATTCCATAAAAAAAACAAGACCTGAAGCCAGGAACTTGCTGGCCTCTAGTGGAAGCAGGCAAAAACAACTGTAGAACACTAGGGACAAAAACATGCCCCCAACAGGTCCAAGAGTGTCCTTTTCAGCCATCTCACAGAGCATGGCCAACTCCTAGTCCATGGTACACATTTTGAGCATCAAGGTTCTACAACAAAAGATGAAATGTGAGTCTTCCCCGCAAAATTTACATCAGACTTGAGTATTTACAATTACTGAAGTTTTCCAAATGCTATCTTTGCTTTGTCTTTTAAGCAGGGGAAAAGATTTTACTCCATTAAAGGCAAAGTGAAGTTTCATAATTAAACTTTTGAGGGAAATGTGGTCACTAGTTTGCATTTTCACAACTACATGCAAAAAATAAGAGTTCCAGGAAATTAAAAATGTATGACTTTGAGGTAGGAGATAAGGGCTGGGCAACCAGGTGGAATGTGTCAGAAGTCATAAAAACCCGTTGAATGAAACATTTCCTGAAAAGAGAAGGTATGCGGAGATCACAGGACCCACAATGATTCCAGGCTTATGGTTTGTGTGCACTGTTCAAGGGAGGAATCAGAAAAGCACTATTTCTCATTTTTGATTTGTCACTGACACTGTTCACCAGACCAATCAGAAGATACTATTTTTAACGCTTCATTTACTTATGAGCATGACCAATCAAAAGACACTGTCCTGGTTTTTCATTTACATGGGGCAAGAAACCAAGCACATTTTCCAATATGACATTTGAGTCTGATGTGAGAGGCCAAGAGAGTTTTTGAAAGGACAATTATCCCGAGGTGATGCTATATTTACATGAGGTGGGGGTCAACCCAGATAGTTTCGATACTAAGGGCACCTTCTCTTTTATCTTTGGGGCCACTGTGAGCATTCTGCCCTGTGACGTACACTTTGTTTTCTGCCTTCCACAAATCTACAGCCTCACTGCCTTTTCTGTGTGGCTTGTCCAGTTCTTTGCTCAGGACACCAAGGACTCCGAGACCCTCATGTGTTAACAATCTGACATAATAACATTATTGGACTGCTTACCTGTCTCAACAGCCGAAGTGATGTATGTTTATTAAAGATCTTCACAGCCACTTCCTCTCCTTCATAGGCTGCTCTATAAACTGATCCAAAACTGCCATCACCTTTAGAAAAAAACAAAACAAAACACAAACCACATAAATTTACCTTTTCGGACAGGAAAAGCAAGTGAACATTATCTGTTGTGATTATATCTGTTGCATATTTGAAGAAATAGCATACCCATTTGTTTCATGGATCCAAGTGCTATCCTTGTTTCCCTTTCCTTCTTAGGCACCTACAAACTAAGACGTCTGAATATCCTGTTCCCAGTCTTCCAGTCTTCCCACTGTACCTGTCCTGCATGGCCATGCCGCCCCTGTGATGGCATCCACTCCCCCCTGCAGAGAACCTCACATCTCCCTGGCAGCCGTGGGCTTCCTCCTAAGTGCTATGCCCTGTGAGTCCACCCGCGGTGTGGGCTTCCAAATCTCCGCCACTCTCCATGAGATGCAGTCATCATCTTTTCTCTGAACTAGGTTTTATTCCACCCTCCATATATCAAAACAAAATAAAATTCTGGGCCTGGGATGTAACTCAGTGGCACAGCACCTTCCCGGTAAGTGTGAAGCCCTGAGTTTGATTCCTGGTACCAAAAAGTACAAAATAAAACAAAATAAAATTCTTTCAAGGTCTTCTGGAGTTAAAACAAGATAATTATTTTAAGTCTTTGCCCATGCCCCAGCCACAACCAACAGGCAGCCTCACTTGGGCACACCCCACTCTTCCTAGTTTCCCCACCACACTCTTCTGGTGCCCTCAGTGGCCTCCAGACAGACCTGTGGGTGGAGGAGAGGGTCTTGAATTCACTACCACCAAGGCTGCATTTTCTCTCTCCCATAAAATTAATGCTCCTAAAACTCCTCTTTGATTGTGTCATTCTCCTGCTCAAAGGCAAATTATTGCACATGGGCTATTAAATCAAATCCAGTTCAAATTTACCCCTGAATTCCTTTTCTAGCTCGCTTCTTGTTCTGTGTCTCATTCTCTAGGTTTAAGTTCAGTACTTTTCCTCCTAGTCTTGGCTGAACTGTACCTACCAAGAGCTTTTGAAAAACACTAGCGTCTGGGCTCAAAGATTCATATCAAACTAGTACTGAGAAGTCCTGAGGACTTTTCTTCCTCATCTTTTCTTTTCTTTTTTTTTTTTCAACTAAGGCTAAGAACAACTGTTCTAGACAAACTGGAATAGTAGAAATGCCCTGTATCTTCACTATTTCATGCTGCATACCTTCAATCGCTTTCTGTCTTTCCTTGATGAGCTCTGCTGCCTTATCACCTCCAACTCTGTGGAGTTTATATAGCCTACAAGACCCAGCACATCTTGGGAAACCAAGGCCCTGATCAACCCCATGGACTATTAGTAAATCTTCTTCATACAATATCTATGGCTCCCATATAGTACCTTGACACCAAGTCATTCAATGGATATAGGACAATGAAAACAGAAAAGCTACAAGGAAATATAAACAGTAGGCATGATGGTGCACATCTGTAATTTCAGCACTTGGGAGGCTTAGGCAGGAGGATCGCTGTGAGTCTGAGACCAGCCCGAGCCACATAATAAGACCTTTTTGCCAAAAAAAAAAATACATATATATATATATGTATAATATATATATTATATACATGACAATACCCAAATTTCTAAGGGCAAAACTATGTCTCTATGGGAACCTTTTATTTCTGTATTTTTTAAATCTCCACAATACTCATATGTAATCATACATGATTTTAGGCTCAGAAGCAACATATGTTAAAAATAAATTACTTGTGAGTATGTCTGGCACTGCTAATAGATTGGGTTTGCGATAGTTTTCTTATTGCCGGTAGGTTTGGTGTTTGTTTTTGTTTCTGTTTTTGAGACAGGAGTTGTATTATGTTGTCCAGGCTGGCTTCAAACTCATGATCCCTTACCTCAGCCTCCTCAGTAGCTGAGATCACAGGCATATGCCACTGTGCCTGACTCTAACAGATTATAAGCATGTTAAAAATACTATTTCCATTTTATTATTCTTGGTATTTCCCACCCCATCCCTCCAGTACTCAATCAATATTTCACTTTTAACAGTATTAGTAATGTTGGTGTGAAGTGACGGGGAAATGAAGGCTACAGGAAGAGTTAAGTATAAGAATCAGGGCTGGGCAAAGAGGCACAGAAAGAGAAAGAAAGCAAGTAAAAGAGAGAGAGAATGGGTAAGAGATGGAAACTTAGGAAACAGATGCATTCTGTTGGGTTCCCTTAATCTGGACTGCTATCAACAATAAAAAAAACACTTATGAGGGCAGAGAGAAGAAACACATAGAGAGAGCGAGATCAAAATTTCAGGGAGAAATAGAGATTCTTAATTTGGAACCTGTGTCATAAGAATACAGGGTATGGACTGCTGCATTCTTCAGGTGATCAAAAACAAAACTCAGGTTAAGAACTGCTATTGTGTACTTGTGACACCTTGCTAGGAAAAAACTAAAGGTAAGGAAACTGTTTTAATCCTACCAAATCAGACTACTGAAGTTCCTATCTATTATGGTTCCCCAGAAAAAAGACCCTTCAAAGAGGAAAGGTACCTGTCTGTATAATTAATGAAATATAAAACACAGCTACTTCAAAACAGATTTTTGTGAACAATGTTTCTGCATGCACTGCTCAATACCTGTCTTAATCTGAAACATGTATCAGTGCAGGATGAAGGAATATTTTGGGGAGCCATGGCTGATGGCTTGGGATTTCTTCAGAGAAAGGGTACACCATGTCTGGTACTTGTCTGCATCCTCAGAAAAATTAGTCAAGTTTGGTGTTAGTTAAGATGTAGGATTTGGCACTGACAATTTTGCCTTTTGTGTTAACCCATTATTACTAATATAACCATTTCTAGAGTTTCAAAGCAGTTGCATTCATTCTAAACTTATCAATCAATGCAAACAACAAAGGTTTGGTTTTCTGTGGCATGCCCCAAATTTTGTTAATAATATATTCTGATAGATTAGGCAATAATGTATACCTATAACAAAACATCATGTATGTGTGTGCCTGTGTGTATATAATTTTTACTTGCAAATTAAAAAAGCAAATTTTAAGAAAACTGGAGTAAACAGAGTAACCAGAGGGCTGAACAGAGAGCATTAGAGGCATGATACGAACATTAGCTTTTATTCTGGAGGTGGGAAGTCACAAAAGGACTGCAGAAAGATATGACACAACATATCACATGCTGACACTTCTTTCAGAAGTTAATTATAATGTGTAAATCTGTTCAACTTCTTAACTTTATGGAGTTTTCTTTAAAACACCTTTTAAGCCTCAAGACACAGGTATAGTGTGAGAATAGAATGAGAATACTGGAATGCGATTACTATGACCTCCCCTTCTTTCCGTGAACACCTGAAAATGTTGCATGAATCCAGTGATTCCATCACACCCTGTAGAAATTCACTGGTGGAATGAATGGTACCAGTCAATCAAGGTGAACTGTTCACAACACCAGAAAACAGTAACAATATAAAATGGGACTTGAGTATGTTACTAATTTAATGCTTCTGATTTTTTAATTCCAAAGTATTTTATAAGAATTCTGCATTGTCCTGTGAGTAATAAAGTAATAAAATTTCTACTGTCCCTACCCAGAAGTGTTATTCCATCATTTCTCTTTTGAGATGAGAAATGGCTACTTCACTTCACTCAATGGCAAGTCTCCTTATCTGCCTCATCCATCCCCAGGTAAGTAGAGCAAGTGTAAGGATGTGTTTCACAAATATCTGTGCTTCCATATAGTCCCTTCCTCAATTTAATCCTCATTTACATGAACGTGCAAAGTTAAGTGCAGATCTGTTACATAATATTACTTTAAAATATATCATTCCAAATGAAGAACATCATATCAACTATATGAAGACACAAAAGCTTTATGATGGTGTGATTACAATATATAAATTATACGAAAGAAATTGCATTCTATTTTTTTTCTCAAATTTACAAAAAGTTACCTAAAAGGAATTCTGGAGCTTGCTCAAATTCCAACTCATCATTATTCAACATAATATTTCTAGGCAGGTCAGCCAAAATTAAGTCAGGAGCAATCTGAGATATAGGAATTGTGAGCCTTGGTTGATCTGGATTTACTAGGAGGTCTCCTGAGAAGTAAATAAGATTTTTTTTTTTAAAAAAAAGAATACATAAGGATAAACATAAATTTGTGGATTTGACTTACAAAGCAATCACACATTTCTGTCACTTCTTATCACTCCCTTAGGGTTTATTTTTACCAATCCTACATATTTCAAGAAAATCTGAGAAAAAAGTTTGAGTTAAAAGTTTATTTAACATCAACCTACTTAGAATTTGAAAAACTCATTCCAAGGTTCATTCAGTAATAGAATTCAGAACTACCTCTGACCACGTGATATCTGACTAGGAAGTTATTTATTCTCTATACTTTCACCACATCTACGAATCAGATGTCATATGCACAAATGTTATCTGCACATGTTGCTGTATTTTAATCTTCTTAAAAATTTTACGAGATTGGTTTAGTTAGTATTCTCACGTCACAGAAGAGGTTATATTACTCAAAGGGCCAATATTCAAACCCTCAAATTCAGAACACAGAACACAGGATCTTACTAATAATAAATATATCTTTCTGAACTGACATTATAATTGAATGTACTCTTTTAACTCCTGCTTTATGGATAAGAATAATTTTAACTTATAAAAGTCACTTTGCAAATAGCAAAGGATCACTTTAAAATATTTGTAGATTGCATCAATGCATACCTTCTTCTGCCTTCTTCATCAGCTCATCAAGTAAGATTTTTTGATGTTCTTCACCATCATTAAAACTATATAATGCCCATTTCTTCAACAGAGTTTCTCCTTCACCACAAATATCAATCTCTAGTAACCCAGGAAACCATTCTTCCATGAGAGAATCAATGTGGTCCACAACTTGGCCCAAAAGAATACAGCCTAATAATTCAAAAGAAAGCTCATCAACCTTACGCTACCACAAAGCCCGAAAAGAGAAACCGAAAAGTTGTGCTGTGTTGTTTTGTTTTGTTTTATTTTGTTTTGTTGAGATGGGGTTTCTCACTATATTGCCCAGGCTGGTCTTAACTCTTGGGCTCAAGTGATCCTCCTGTTTCAGCTGGGACTATACCCATATGCCATCACTCCCAACTCTGGAAAGTTTTTTTTTTTCTGTAGATTTCTTTAGAGGTACAATTTGAAGTTTTGAATTAATTTTCTTACCTTTTCTACAGGAAGGAACTGTAATTTTTAAGAAACTCTCTTGTTGATTGTCTAAGACCTCAGATCCTACCAGACAATAAGCTTCAGGAGACCAATTCAAGTAGATGCCCTGTCGCCAATACATTCTATTCGGGCGAAGTGCTCGCTCTGAAAGAAATTTAAATGGATCCAAATGTATCCATTAATTTCAACTTCTACATAAAGAAAAGACCTACTGTCCACCCCACAAGTAATTGTAATACAAACAAAATTGTTTCAAAGGAGAGTATTAGGTCATTAATGATATCGATCCTCATTCATATCTATATAAATATTATACAAAATATTTGTTCCTTGATTTTGCAATAAAATAAATGCCCCATAGATTACATAAAATAAAATTCAGGTCTGTGCTGGTAAGTAGCTTAACGTGATTAATATGTGAATAAAGAGAATCATAAATAAGTTCCTGTAATTTTTGTATTAAAGGTAATTCCTGAAGTTTGTAATGCATTGTAACTATCTGTTGATTAATTCCAAACAAGATAGGGTTTATTTCAGAAACTAGTAACACCTGTGCAAAGCTATCTTAAAAACAAAAAATGGTATTTATTTGGCGTATTAAGAGTCTTTATTCTAGAACTAAAAGCCAGCATTAGACACACCCATTTTTTATTCTCTTCTGTAAACCTCTCAGGTATTCATCAACAGAACAGAGATATTACAGTCCATATTCTGAATGGTCTAGGTCCTGTTATATCTGTTGAATAAAAGTCCACTGATCATGCAGTGGTCATTTCTTTTTTCCTTGGTATGTGTGGTATGGTGTGTGTGATTTGTGTGTGTGTGTGTGTGTGTGTGTGTCTGTCTTAAATCAATGGCTTCTAGAAATTGCACCTTTTAAAATTATTGCTTCCTATTTGGTGTGGCTTGGAAAACAAGATGTTCTTAGTTGTTGGAAATGTGTCTAAAACAGGAGTAAATGGGCTTGAGTAAGGAGGTGAGGGATTTTCTTCCAAATAAAATGTATGATTTTTAAATCTTTATGTAGACTACTCTGTGGTTTTATATGCTTATTTTCTAATTCAGTAGCCTCCCAAACAAGTAAACACAATAATATTTTTCTCCCTAAATACTCTAAATAGTGCCTGCATTAAATACATACCTCTTCCTGAAAGCATGTAAGGTGAAATTTCAAGTAACCGATTGATTAATCTTGACCAAAATCCCATTGGAAAATAAGGCATTTCATATAGTCTAATGATAATTTCAGAGTTCTCACAATGGGGAAGCTCTATCACAGGTCTGTGGTCAGACAAACTGAAAGGAAAAAAACGTTGTTATTATATAACTCAGAAACACCCAACCATGTTGATGGAAGTGCTTTACTGTTCGAAATCAATGAAATTAACTATTCTAAGAAAATGTACTTTCTTGGTAATAGTTTTTGCTATATGCTCTTCATACATGAACAATTCAATAGTCATTTAATCAATTTAAATGCACATTCAGATGTAGTAGATGCACAAAATTTTTTTCAGTTACCTTATATATGCTAATTATTGCAATTAGTTATGCACAAATATTGATTATATAAAACTTGAAAAAATAAATGTCCTAGAAAAAAGTGTTATATCTGGTTTTATAATTGGCTGTCATCTACCAATCAATACAATTTGCATTTTGAACATCATGATCCTTTATAATATATCCTAGTTGTTTATAAAGCAATAAGAAAATTTTCTACAGTACAGGGCTAAAACTTAGGCCTGCATTATGATGTCATAAGTTCTTTTGAAACTGTTGAAAACCCACTATTGTATTTCTCAAGGACTTCCCTAATATTACTTTTTTATTGTCATGTAAGGATAAAGATATTTATACATACACACTACTCCTCACTATTTATCTTTCTTAAATAATTTAAGTAGTGGTATGCCAAACAAAAATCACATAAAGTAAGCTATTTACCATATCTTTTAAGTGTCAAATGGAATGTTTTCATTAAAAGTACATGCTATACTTTAGTAGAAAAGGTCACAAAACCAGGCAAAAACATTTATTACATTTATTACACATCTCAGTTTAATAATTAAAATAATATTTTGTACAATGAATTCCCATGGAGAAATTAAATTGATAAAGTTTGTTTTACCTGCTTGGAACCAGCAAATATTCTTCTCCTATTGGCAAGGCAATCTGAAATTTTTCTAAGAGTTTAAAGTACTGTGTCATGTAGTTCTTTGGAAATCTCCTCTTCTTTGAAAGAAATTTTTCCACATCTCTACGTGAAATGATTCCCTTAGGGTATTTTGGGCAGCCTTCAACTTTTATTGTCAGAATCTGAAAGATTTAAACTCAAATAATCACTAGGATCCATTTTCTGAAATGTTTCAAATGTAAAGCATTTTAAATCTCTTTGCTCAGTGAAAGTGATCGGGACAACTTGTTCAGTACATCACAGGACCTAATTTCCCTATCAGCCAGGCAGCCTAAAAGCCCAGTAGGACATCCATCCTCAGAAAGCATTTGTTAAATCAAGAGAATTCAGATCAAAATTTATCGGGATCCTCTGAAAATAGTGAACCTCAAAATTTCCCTAGCCGCCACGAACAGATCAATCCAATACATCACACTCATACTGCAGTCTCATCACTAAAATGTTCCTAGGGAAATTATATTCCAGACTTATTACTACAGGTTTGCAGTAGAAATATTACTTTACATTTGTAGGATAGGAGAGGGTTTTCATCAATGGGAGGAGAGGCTGTACAGTACAGGATAGTGATTCTCAAGGCAACTACTGAATTTTGCTGGATTACGACTGCAGAGTTTGGTCAGTAAGTCTGGGGTGTGGCTTAAGAATCTGCTCTTTTAAAAAACAACTTAGATGATTCTAGCACAGAGACCTTACTTTGAGCTTTGTCGTAGCAGTTAGGAATCTGACTCTGGATCAGAAGAACCTAGTTTCAAATCCAGGCTCTGCTACTAGCTATGAGACTTTGGGAAAAATATGTGATTTCTTGAAGGCACAGTTTCCTTCTCTGGAAAATAATATAATAAAAGTGTCTGCCTCTTTGACTGCCATAACAAAGAAAAAGATTAGTGTAAATCATGCAAGGCCATAGGACAATTTTTAGCATATAGTAAGCCCTTATTTATTAGCCATATATATTTTGCAATTTATATTATTCAGCAGAATAACCCCAGAACAAGGACACTATCTGGAACATGGTAAATACTGAATAAATATTTTGCCATTTTGATATTAGCCTTTAAGAGGACTGGCAATTTCTCATTTCTTTCTCTTGATAGCCTGCCACTATGAAAGATGTCCAATTACCCTATAATCATTGTGCCACAAGAAGTCCCAACCTAACCACATGGAAGGCCATTGGAGGAGCACCAATTCCACCAAAAATATGAGTGTAGCCTGCTTGGACTTCAGCCTGGCTCCATGCACAAAGCCAACTGAAAGAACTGTGCCCAGACTGCGTGAAGGAGAACCACTCAGCTGAATACAGTCCATCCACAGAAGAGTGAGAAATAATAAATTCTTAGTGTTTTTAGCCTTCAAGTTTGGGGTAGCTTGTTACATAGAAATAAAATTGAAATGTTATCTTAATTGTATCACCTTTAAAAGACTTCTTAATATTCCTTCAATCTATTGACATCAATGGCTGGAGTCTACTTGTCAGGTCTGTAAGTCTGGGGGAGCCTTGGGAATCCTTTTTAAACAAACTGTATGGCTAACTTATGCCCTTATTTTAAAATTCGTCTATATTTCTCTCATGTGTTTTTATCAAGATTAAATTGCCACAGAGGCTTGTTACTGCTCCACATGATTAATTCAATAGGTCTCTTTCATATTTTTTTATCATACAGTTGAAATGAGTTTTGCAAACTTCTCCCTTCCTTGACTTAATCTTCTTTAATAAGTTTAGTGACCTAACATCGCAGAGCACATAGAAAGTAGGTAGGCTCGTTAGAGTTTCTGCACCATGAAATTGCTGCTGCCCTTGTCTTGATGATTCATGGAGGGTGAATACCCCTATTTATTTTTTCTGATAGGTGGCAGACAAGTCTTGTCACTTGGTTATTTATAGCTTTCATTCTCTTTAAGCCTAAGTGAAAATGACATTATATTTCAATTTATCAGCATAAATAAAAATGATGGTCATTAATTTTAAGTTACTAAGAAATTTAAATTATTTTACTGACATTTCAAATTTGTCTTTCAAAATAAATTTGAGTTACTCAAATTCTGATTTAATTTTCACTTAAGTTAGCATGTCCAAACTATAACTATGATAATGAGAAGAACTTCAGAGTTTCAACTTAATTATGCCATAAACTCAACAGAAATTTTGTTGCAATCAGAGTGGAAATCTGTTCTTGTCCTAAAAAAAATGGCTCTTATGCAAAACTCTTCCTTATTCTGCTGAATAAGATGTGCTCACCCTAATATCAACACTGTGTACAATTTCAAATGTTTCAAAGTCACATGGAAAATATCACTTTTGGGGCTAACTTTAGCCTTTTCTTGCCTATAAGGATTTCTGATAACTGTAGTGTACAAGAAATGCCACAGGGTATATTTAAAAGTCCCTCCGCTGAACAGGATGCATCTTCCTATATGTAGTTTTTATTTGACTCCATGCCTGACACACTTGCCAACACTATGAGTACATCTTTGTAATTTCGAAGTTTTTTTTAATTTCCTAAAATAACATACCTTAAATTACAGCATATATCAAATTTAAAATTAGTTAACATTTACCAGTCACTTATATTGAACTAGGAAGGCACGAGAGAAGAAAGTATTTTTACTATCTTTATTTTATAATTGACGAAATAATGGCTTAAAATGTAAAGAAACGTTAGAAAGCTGATAAGTATTTGAAAGAAATTTAAACACAGGCCAAGTTGACCATAGAGCATGCACTACTGTCCACATTATTTTACTGGCTCCATTATTTCATAAATGAGTAACATTCCACTTCCATGGCACATGTTCAGGTCAAAAATCTAATTTAAAATATCTATCAAAATAGTTAAAAATGATAATTACAGTTAAATACTAATTACAATAATGTTTCCATATGCTCCAATGCTATGGGATAGGATTTAGCCTCAACTGCATTTCCTCTTCAAAATATCCTTATTATCCTTAAATAGAATTCAGGAACTAGTATTCAAGATCATTAGAGAGAACTTAATTAGTATTATGGTTTAATTGGAAGAGCTATTTCTATTATACAAATATATAATGACTTCAGGCATTAGGAGCCACATGCAAAACCATAAATTGTGTTTATCAACACAGTAACTGCTAGTGGGTACACAGGTTGGAGGCACCCTCTCTGAGCTCACCTTGGTTCATGATTACGTGAGACACCATGATTCTCAATGGGGATGATTTTGCACCCCAGCACTATTTGGCAATGTGCAGACACATTTTTATTTGTCATAATTGGGAAGGTAGAGCTGGCATCTAAAAAGCATAGGCCAAAAATGCTGCTATCATTCTATAATATACAATAATTAATTATGTCAATAGTGGTAAAGTTGAAAATTTCCTAAGCTAGTATGTTCTGCTCGAGTGGTTTTCATGGCAAACCCATAGAGAAGGATTATTATAAGTAATTAACATGAACTCATTGGTAATGGACCATCATTGGGAGAAGAAATCATTTTCTATGTGCATAAAATGATTCCATAATGCAGAAAAGTTCCATAATTACTGCCATCTGATGCTTTAAAAAATGTAGGCATATGGAGCTCAGACCATTTCACTTAAGAATAAAAAAATCCCTTTCATGTTACCTAGGCAGAGGCTTCATGGACCCATCAACTCAATTTCTTCATATACATTTGCCTCAAAGATTTTCACAAGTCCTTTAATAAACTGATTTAAGTTAATACCCAAATAGCATCAGGATCTAAAAAATCATCATGGAAAAGGGTGGTACAGACATTTGTGGCTTGGAAACAAAGGCATGAAAGTGAATTTTAAGATATCTTCCCTTCTTCCATGAAGCTCTTTAAACACTCTTCTATGTGCCGTATTGCATAGTTCACTATATTTACAATAGATGCTGCCCTAACTAAATACTACAAACGTTAAAATGCTCAGTGCTCTGGATGTCATCTTTCCTACTCTTCAAACACAACCCCAGGCTCCCAAAATGCAAGACACCAACCTGTGCCATGACTTTACAAAGCCACTTAGGTTCCACAAAATATAAGTCACTTAACTGCAGTGCTGGGTCTTGAAAATGAAGAAGGACTCCTGTAATAAAAAAATCATCAAACAGTGAAACATGGAATCTGGAATGCAAAAATATCAAGAAGCTCTAGAGCAAATCTAGTTCAACTACCTCTTCCTCCAGAGGAGGTGCCTAGATCCCCAACTCTAATGTTCTAATCTTTGAACTATGAAAACTGACCACAGAGAAGAATGTTTGAGATACTGGTATGCACTGAAGATCATGTATTCACACACAAAAACAGAAATTCATAACTTTCTTGCTACTTTCTAAACGTACTCTACGAAGACACAACTTATTTTCAATACAGATAAGAAACAAATATCAACATATCTGAGTTAACAATAAAAACAAAAGGGAATAGATTATAAATGCACCTGAAGATATTTTTCATATTACAGAATGCAGGGATCTAAAACAGCTTCCCAGCCACTTATTCTAGTATTAAAAATAAACCCACACATTTTTAGCAAGGTAATAACTGATCAATTAGCACTGCAATTGGTTTGAGAGTTTTCACTACAGGATCAATAAGTGAAGTGACAGAATGATATCTGCCAGCCAGGAGCTGTATCATCTCAGACAACTGTCAACTCTACGTGGCCCAGTTAAGCCATCACAATAATTCTCCTTGATGGTACAAAAATAACTTTCATATGCACTAAATCCATTGGATACTATGAAAGGATATGGCTATGGTGAGGGTTCTATATCTCCTGAACAGCAAAGCTATGTTCTGAAACTCACATGTTTTAACTCCTGCTCAGGGACTCTTTTCTACATTGTCCTTAGATAATTTCTAAGTGTATTTTCTTATAACATGATGAGGATTCAACATGATGATCTTCCAAAAATGGGAAGAATCAGTGGCCTATTCAAGAATTATACAGACATTCTTTTAAATTTTAACTATAGATGCTATACAAGATTCAGACACATTTTTACAACCAAGCATTGAAAAAAAGGAACATGAAACAAACATACAAACCTGATTCATTTAGGAAATGAACAGCATGAGGAAGCTCATTTTCATCTAATTGCAGCCGATTTTCCTTTACCAGTTGTAATAATCGTTTCTGGTCAATTACAGGAAATTCAATTGGCACGTTTTTGCGCTCTGTTAAAATGATTTTCTCAAGTTCTACATAGCAATCTGGAATTAGCTGCCCAACAACAGGCTGATCTCGGATCTATGAAATTACAATGACAAGCTGTAAAAATCTATTTTAATTATGCATTTCTCATTGGTAAGTTCAGTGCTAAGTTTTAACACAAATGACTACATTATTCAGAAATATACTTTTAATAAAATCAAAATATGATGTGAACCTCTCTGAATTGTAATTGATAAAGGATGAAATTGAAGTAAGAAAAATATAGACAAAGAGGTCCATATGAAAATATCAAACAAAGTAGCACAGGAATGTTTATCTAGTTATCCAGAAGCTTCATGGAAAAAACTAAGATATGGTCACTCACCATAAAAAGATTTTCTATTTTTTAAAACATTAAGCTCATGTGTAATAGACTTGTTAACATGATATAAGTAAGTATAACAAGATATTTTCAGATATTTTTATTAGATAAAAATACATCCAGAGGTAAAACATCAAACTGTGTGTGCTGGAAGACTGTAAATATCAACAGTTAAACCTGGAGACACAAAATTCTTACCCGATTATGTCTTCTCATGGAATCTTGAACTCGGGAAAGTGAGAAATCATCTAAACACCAATGATTCTAACATAAGAGGATTGTCATTGGCCTGTCCCCTTTGGATCTAATCACTGTCTATCAATTGAGATAATATTTTAAAAGAATGGTCTTAAAATGAAGCTATCTATAATAAATATATTTTCCAAACCTTTTTTCCCCCCTTGAAAATATAATTTTACATTGAAATGCAGCTCTTAACAATAGAAACAAAAATACCCTCAAGAACCACCAGATGGCAAACTCTCCCCATTTCTGGAGTGCTGAAAATTATAGCTCCTATTCACCTGACAGTACCTAGGAGAATTTCACTTAAATTCTTAAGTTTATTAGAAATAGAAACTGGGTCTTATTAACACACACAAACACAAAAATTAACTCTCTATCTTCCTACATGTAACTAAAACATGAAGAAGCCTGAACATTCCAGAATGATGCATCTATTAGCAATATACCTTTCTTCAAATCATACTCTCATTTCCAAAAACAGTGTTTCTCCCCTGCATAGAGCTGTCTTCAAAGTATCTTTATAAATGCCAGAGGAAACCTAGTGTTATTGATTAATGGTGCTATCCTGCTAAGAGAAAAACATAGTAGAAATCCATCTTAATGAACCAACTACCTCATCTGTAGACTTTGCTTTAATTAAAGCTTTTTTCAAAAAAAGTTCATCCTCCAATAGGGTCTTTCAAAAAAGTACCATACCTGTTTTGACAGCAATGTCAAAATGAATATTAATATATTCTAAGCAGCAACAAAGATTTTACAGTTATAAATAAGGAAGAAAACTACCTGGATAAACAGACTAATGGTATGAATGGATTTTAAATATCTGTTTCTTAAAAATTCATATTAATTATATGTCCCACAAGAGGGTAGGAAAATCTTAAAGTACATAATGCCATTCTTCTTTTATAAAATGTCACTACCTAACCACCATCAATAAAGCCTTTCAGTAACTACAGCACATGTGCTTTGAAAGATACAAGTACATTCTCTACCGGAACATCACAAAGACCAATACATTTTTAAATGGCTCATTAAGTTTTGGACAGGAGCGTGTCTGTGGCAATGGAACAGAACTAAGCTAACTGGTCAACACAGAGTTTATAAGCAGGGCAACCATATAATTTATCATCCACATTGGAATGCTTTTGAAGTGGAGTGGGACACTATTAATAATTATGCTGGAGGTAGCACTGCTCCCAGTGCAGAGGAGGACACTTCCAGGTGGTCACAGCACCACTCCCAGTGCAGAGGAGGTGACCCTCAGGGGTGCCAGCAGCACCACTCCCTCACCACCTTCGAACTGAGAAGACATATAAACAAGCCTCAAAACCAGACTTCCAGATCACCTACAGCAACCCCAAAGGGAAATGAAATGAACACTCTGATACTCAACCACCTGGACTCCCTGAACTGGCAACAAAAGAAGATATGGAAAAAAATGAAATCAGAAATGATTTCTCAGATGAAAGCAGAGATTGGACCCATAGTGCAAGACGTGACTAATAAATCTAGGGAGGTCACAGATAAAGAAATAGAGGAGCTGAGGAACATGATGGAATCCCAACATAGGAAACAAATGGAATCCATAAAACACATGCAAACAGACGTCCAAGAGATTAAAAGCTCCACTGGAAGTCTTCGCAGTAGAATGACCCAATGTCAGGACAGAGTTTCAGACAGAGAAGATAAGATTGCAATTAGTGACCAGGAAAAGAAAAATTGCTTTAAAATTGTAAGGGACCAAGAGAAATCAATCCAGCAGCTGCTTGGGTGATGCAAAGAAGAAAAACATGAGACTGATTGGAGTCAATGAAGAAACAGGAGAGAGTGCAGATGACATAAAAAAACTCTTCACAGAAGTAATAGCAGAATACTTGGCAAACAGGGGAAAAGAACTTGACATACAGATAAATGAGGCATATAGGACTCCAACGGGCCTTGATCAAAAGAAATCTACACATAGACATATAATTGTTAAGATTCCAGAAAC